TGGCCACATCCATGATAAAAGCATAATACATTGTTGCAGGAAGCTGTATTACACAAGTCTTATGGATTAAGCGATCACTTCATGATTTTAGTGTGGTTGTTGAAACTATCTCTATCATTCATAATAACACTAGTGTTACATGTAAAACAAAAAACCAATTTAGTAATATAAAACTAATCACATCAACGTTCACTATCATTTTAGCAGAGACTTGCCAAATGATGATGTTATTTAAATTATTATCATAGAAATTCAATTATTATGAGACATTGAGTACACTTTGGAACATTTTTGAAGTTATAAATTTTGATTTGTAAAATACTAATAAGTTTAAGTGCTTACTTGTGTATCATTTGTTGCTTGTTTATGTTATATTCTGTTATTTTTATATGTTGTGTGATTGTTTGCTAAGATTCTTACTTAGTCATAATCTTAAATAATTATATTTAGTGGAGAATCAACTAATCAAAGGAAATAATATTTAGGCAAATCATATAATATAATCCATATTATATTCTACTAGTTATATGTTTAACAGATTTATGTAGTCATTGGGATGTCCTAAACTATTAATGCATATACAATTAGGCTCATTAAAATAGTCATTGAGTAGCCATTGGGATGATATAAAGTAGTATTCATTGTACTGTTTATTGTATGATCTACTTGAGGTGTGAAATATATATAAATTTCCAAGTTCCTTCTCTACACTTACACCTTCTTCCATTTTTTGTTCTTCTCTTGTGTGACTATAAGTTTACCAAATAAGTTCATCATGGCTAGAAAATGAGCTTCGATTATGATTTCATCATCAATGTTACAACATGACTAAAGATTTTGATCAATTGATGTCGTAATGACATAGAAAAAATAATGGGAAATTTGTACACTAATGCAAAATTGATACTATTAGAACGCATCTCTTATACCATTCTCAAATTTTATACCGAAAAGAATACGATTTTTAATTTCCTTATCCTTCCCTTATCACTATAAGCTTCTTTTTTTTATCTTTTAAATTTGTGATCAGTCTGGATCACACTAAAATTCTATATTAAATGTGTAAAAGAAAGTCACAATCACTAATCTTAATTTGCAGGAGTATCTTCATGTATTAAATTTTTATGCAAATCCCCATCTGATAGCCACCAATCTCACTTATAACTAGACCAACATAAACCTCACCATTAAAAATTCCACACTCCAACAACATCAATGATTAATCAATGGATTTGTTTTGAATGGTTGTGTTAAGTAGCACATAATTTAACATAACATCATTCAAAAAGTTATTTATTAAATTAATAATAAATCACTCCCCTCTATCATTTCATATTACTGCATCACCCAAACTATTTAACAATACAAATTTACTTATCATAAAAAAATATACATCCATTAGTCACCCATACACTCCTTGTTCATAAAACCGGACTCTTTATAATCATATGTTGTTATAAATAAGGATAATTTGGCCTACCCACAACCACACAAACATATACCTTCCTAAATTAATGACCGCTCCTTCCAAAAATTTATATGATTGATGTCATCAAAAAGAAGATAGAGATGAAGAAGATGATGATCATTACCCTACTCCACCCATTCACCACTCATGAATATTCATAAAATGCATGGACCAAACATTTTTCATGTATAGGGGTAAACTTCAATGAACATCTCACTCAGTTTAGTTAGCACATATGAAAGTTATAAAGATAGTCAGATAAAGACATACTATAGTTTCAAGGTTTACTTTCTTTAATTATATAGTTATTTTTGCCCTAGTATTGTTAAAGACCAAAAATCCCTATTTTGTCATCTATCTTTTTTTTTCCTCCATAGTTTATTCTATAATATGAACTAAACCTCTTCACTCAACTGAATCAACTTTCATCATATAATGATAATACGAAGTCAAAATGTTGAATAAAGACTAACCACATATGTTTTTAATAAAATACAACTATTTTTTCATGTGTAAATCTCACTTAGGATATGATCGTGGTTCTAACCAAAATTGAAAAAAAAAATATGTTATCTATTTTCTATTATTATAAGTTCTTGTATTTTTTAGACTAGTTGAGTGAATGATCATATGAAGAACCATCTTTCAATTTTTTTTTTCAAAATTTGTGTCTATCGGGAAATTAAATTTTATCATCTATAAGCTATTTTGTGCTTATCACTTGCGTCCTTTCACTTTTATCATAATGTGAATAGAGAGATAAAGTATAATTAATAAACCATGTTAAAGCCATAAGACTGCCATTTTGAACTTATTCGAACAATAGGCAATCAAATCAATGTTATGCTATCATGCAAAGAAAATACATTAGAAGGCATTTATTTGGGCACGAATATGATAATAACTCCTGAAAGAACATTATTATATTGAGTTTGGTGGTCGCAACTTAGAGGTGTTCTTCACAAAAATTACTAGTGAAGCAAGCCTATGTCTAGAAATATAGGGTAACAATAGATGAATTTTTAAATTGCAATACAAATTGAAGAAGATTAAAATCATAAGGAATTTAGGTTTTAACTGATAAATAATTTATAAAAAATGTGACAGAGAATTAAACATAGCCCTAACTGCATACCTAATCAATTGGGTTAAGATAATCAATAGGAAAAAAAAGGTGTAACATAGAGTATGAGTGGCATTGTAGAAGATATATAAAGTTCCCTAGAATTGAAATAACAAATTAGGGAGAAAGATATTATAAAATTTTTTAATAGACTAAAAATAGATGCACAAATTTCGCCGAACTATTTAGAATAGATAATTGATTTTTCCATGTTAAGCATTTTCAGTAGATGTTTAATGCAAAGTACAGAAAGCACGAATTATTTTTTCTAAGATTATGCTAACTATAATTAGTTGAATTTCTGATCACTTAAATTGTTAATCTTCTTAAAGAAATGCATTTAAACTAGTAACTAAAATAGCACCAATAAAATAAGAAGGGGTTTTCTATGCTTCAACTTAGAATTGAAGACCTTAAAACAACCTACTTTGTCACTTGAACAAAGTAATTTACATAGGGTCAACGATTCGTAATTTTTTTAAAAAGAGATTGACACTTGCAAAGTTCAAACACTCATTTGTGATGAGATATGAAATGAATAGCATGAGCAGGCCCTTGCAGGCAAGAAAATCTAACTATACATGGGCCTGCCAAAGTGAGAACTTATCTAAGCAATTACATTATTTGGAAAATTATCTACAATTGGCACGATTTAATAAGCCATAATAGAAAAATAAATATTTAGAAAAAATATCTAGAAATGGCATAAATTAATAAGCTATTCTAGACATAAATATTTTTAAATTGGCGTACCGTGAGATTTGGAGTAGCTATACATATGAAATAGCAACTTCACTACAATGGGACTAATGATTTAGAAAGAAATGAATATTGGCATCTATGAAATGATAAGCTAGATCATAAAATCTCATTGTTGAAACAAAAACAAAATTTTTTGTGATCCTTATTCCACAATAAAAGGAGAGAATATAAATTTGAAGAGGTGGAGTCATCAAAGTTCATTTGATTTCATGGTAATTAGTCAAAAAGAAAGAGACTACTAAATTGACTATGGTTTACTCTTTTGGTAGAGTAAATATATAATGAACTCTCTATATATGATATTAACTGTAATTACAAGCTAATCTCAAAAATAGGCGTTATAATCAGTTGCAATTAAGTGGTCAATCCTGTTAAAGCATAATGTTAAAAGCACTATGACAAATTACTGCCAATAAAATGAAGGGGTTATCTTCAATAGTATGCAAATTAAAACATTAAGGAATTAAATCAAAATACGATCGTGTCACATTCAAGATCTACCAACTGGATAAATAATATAAAGAAGACCGACATAGAAAACAAGCTCATACCATTTCCAACGCCATCCCATTTACTCTAGCAATCTAAAAACAAGCACAATTCAAATTTCCACGTCAACATGGCCCCACCAAAGGAAAGATGAATAGATGGCAATCATAATCAACGAGAAGATAATTTAGGATATTAACTCCTTGGAATTCAAACACTATCGTCATATCAGATATACATTAAACCATCTTGAAGAACCTCCAAATGAATTTATATTTTAAGCTAATACTTCTTTACGTTATAATCAGTTGCAATTAAGTGGTCAATCCTGTTAAAGCATAATGTTAAAAGCACTATGACAAATTACAGCCAATAAAATGAAGGGGAAATAGTATGCAAATTAAAACATTAAGAAATTAAATCAAAATAGCGATCGTGTCACATTCAAGATCTACCAACTGGATAAATAATATAAAGAAGACCGACATAGAAAACAAGCTCATACCATTTCCAACGCCATCCCATTTACTCTAGCAATCTAAAAACAAGCACAATTCAAATTTCCACGTCAACATGGCCCCACCAAAGGAAAGATGACAATCATAATCAACGAGAAGATAATTTAGGATATTAACTCCTTGGAATTCAAACACTATCGTCATATCAGATATACATTAAACCATCTTGAAGAACCTCCAAATGAATTTATATTTTAAGCTAATACTTCTTTATAAGGATTTACAAATAAACCACACATATTCTCATATATTTAGACACTTAATATCTAAATTTTAACATTTATAGGAAGAACGTTCAAAATTTTGCCATCATATTAAAGATAATTGATACTGAAATTTAGAAAATTAAATATTAACTTTTATATTTTATTGATGTAATTATGACATTACAATATTACATAATTTATTATAAAATTCAAAAATTAAATATAAAAATAAATGAGGATTATGTGGTTTGTGTGTGTGTGTGTCTCTCTCTCTCTCTCTCTCTCTCTCTATATATATATATATATATATAGCTAGAGAAAGAGGATCCATTTAGCAGGAGAATGAACTGTTTTCTTCTTCTTATATTATTTTTCATTTTTATATTTTTTGTTTTGGCACCACTGCAAACTAAATTAGTTGCCGGAGCGATTAATCATATCCATAAACTGCTATCAAAAACCTGCTGTAGCGATCCCTGCCGCTGCAGCCGCATCTCCTCATTAAACTTCTTGATGAAAGCCTCAACTCGACGGTTAAGGTCGTCCTGCCCAAGAGACGGTTCTCGCCGTACCTTTCCCGCCGATAACAAAGAAATGGAGGCGGAGGGCGGGCGACAGCGCGCCGCCGGGGGGGACGGCTATGCCCTCCGCCTTCCGCATCACCGGTGGAGCCGGCTGCAGTGGCACGGCGGTGATGGCGCGGCTATGATTGTCCCACGTGTCGGCCTTTTTCAGGTGGCGAGCGAGGGGCACCGGGCGGCCATCAGTGATCGTCCGCCACGTGTTCTCTAAAGTCTCGTGCTTCCTCGGCCGCGCTACGCCCAAAGCCTTGCCTTGAAAAATTCACCATTTTGCCATTGTTAGGGATTTTTATGTCATTTGTTTACATAACAAGGAAATAAAAGAAAATAATTATAATTCATTACTTGGCTAATGCTAACTTTAAACTTATGATGCAACTTAAGAATTAAATAAGTAAATAAGGGCTTGGGATCACCTTTACTGGGGAAAAAAGATTTAAAGAAAGATTTATTTATATATAATAAATAAATGCAAATTAATTATTTTAACAGTGTAAGTACTAAACAAAAATTAAAATTAGCCGTTAATAAAAATAAATACTGTTTCAAAACTATCGTGGAGCCGGAGTTTTGATTCAGGTATAATTTGTGAGTAATGATTTACGGAAATAAGAAAATCCGTATATTCATTTAGGAATTGCAGTACAGAAATTAAAAATAATGAAAATTGCCCATTTTCAACTGTTCGGGTTTGCAAGGAAATCAAAATAATCACCCGAGGAAAATGAGCAAATAGAGGGGAATATATAAAATTATTAGTACTAACCTTCAGTGCTTGCCTTGATGCTCT